GGGGTGCGGGCCCCGGGGTGACACAGCAAAGCCGGGTCCGCGTGGGTGCGCGCGTGCTCCTGGCGGGGCGCGGCGCCTGCGTCCGGAAGAGCTCGGGAGGGGGAGGGAAGCGCCGGGGCGTGGTTTTAGCTCCGTATCCCGGAGGCTTGTTTCTGGGACGTTTTTACAGAATTTGGGCTTGAATGTAAGCTACTGGTCCTTCAGCCATGTAGCCTGGGAGCACATCCCTGATCAAATGCTGAGTGTGTGTGTGTGTGTGTGTGTGTGTGTGAGAGAGAGAGAGAGATAGAGAATACCAGTTTCTTCTCCTGTACTCTGGTGACGCTAAATAGGAAAAAAGTGTCTTCATCATGAGAATGTTAGGAGGATTGGCCTATAAGTATTAACTTAATAGCAATTATTGAGAAATGGGAATGTTCCTCTTTATAGACACATACTTAGGGAAGGCAGTCCTGCTGGCATGACGTGTGGGTTTGAAAGTACATCATCGAGATTCAGTGGAACCAGCAAAATCGGGATATTTGCTTGGGCTGAATGGGAAGCAAGTTGGGTGCAGGCTGTCCATAGAGATACTTGTCCCGGAGCTGGCAATGGAAGCAGAAACTTACAAGGCTGTCTAAATCCTCAACTTCACTCTTTTATTTATTCATTCAAGCACTACGGACAGTCCTGTGTCTGATTCTGAGGATAAAGCAGGGAGCAAAGAAAAAAGTATGGGTCTCTGTCCTCCTGGGTTGGGTCTTGTGTTAGATTATAAACAAATAAACCAGAGGACAGTGCCGGAGGGTGTAATAAGGACAGGATTGCAGGATTTGTTCTGGGTGGGGAGTTGTGACTGAGGACAGAGCATTTGACTTGAGACCTGAGGGTCTCAGGCTGACCTAAGCAAAGCAGAGGGCAGAGAGCACAACAGGCCGAAGTTTCTCCAGCAAGAGGACTGCCATGCAGAGATGGGAGGCAGCAGGGCGCGCAATGGGAGCTGAAAGAGAAAACTGGAGAGGCCACATAGGTAGGGCGTGTACACCGAGGGCTTTGGTGGTGTGTGAGGCAGGAAGCTGTGGGAAGATTAGTCCCCGGCCAGACCCAGAGCAGCTTGGAGGTGCTAAAGCGTTTGAAAAATGACAGTTAAGTGGACAGAGACAGGAAGAGGAGGAGTAGGCAGGCACCAAACCACACATCCAGGTAGTCTTAGAAAGGAAATGGGTTGAAAATGAAGCAGTGTGTGTCCAGCTGGTGTTGCTCAGTGGTTGAGCCTCAACCCGTGAACCAGGAGATCACAGGTTTGGATTCTCGGTCAGGGCACATGCCCGGGTTGCGGGCTCGATCCCCAGTAGGGGGTGTGCAGGAGGCAACTAATCTATTCTCTCTCATCATTGATGTTTCTATCTCCCTCCCTCTCTCTCTCTCTCTGAAGTCAATTTAAAAAATATTAAAATGAAGCAGACTAAAGTTATACCCTGGGGAAACTTTCAGGGGCTTCTAGGCTGTGGTGAACTGGGCTGGGTGAGAAAAGGAGGGTAGGGCCCCTGATGTTCTCTCTCCCTGCGCCAGAAGTCTACCTCTCCTGCTAGCACAGTGGTTCTCAACCTTCTGGCCCTTTAAATACAGTTCCTCGTGTTGTGACCCAACCATACAATTATTTTCGTTGCTACTTCATAACTGTCAGGTTGCTACTGTTATGAATCGTAATGTAAATATCTGATATGCAGGATGGTCTTAGGCGACCCCTGTGAAAGTGTCGTTCGAACCCCCAAAGGGGTCGCGACCCACAGGTTGAGAACCGCTGTGCTAGCAGGTAGAGTTCAGGATGGCCACTTGCAGCCCGCAGCAGCCAGGTTGGAGTGAGGGTTGGCTCACCACAGGCCCTGTCATTTATGTGGCCTCAACTGATGTCATGGCTAGCAGTCGCCTCTTTGGGGGAGAAGCCAGACGGGTGGGTGTGGGTAAGAGGCGGGGGTCTTTCTGGCAGAAATATGGGGAGATGCAGGTTCATCTCAAAGCCAAGAAGACAGAGGGGGCTGTGTGGCTGGGATGGCTGCGGAAGTGTAAAGCTTCCAGGTTTCGGGCTGCTGCCGAGCATGCCTGTACCTGGGCTTTGTGTTGCAGGCACGAATGGGTTGAGGTATGTCACTGGTGAGGTAAGGAATTAAGGTCTGTCGGAGGGAGTGTGGGGAAGTTGGGCCTAGTTGGTGTGTAGAGTTGAAGACATTGCTATGCCCAAGAGGAGCAGGTGAACAGTCAGGAGGGGCTGCCCTGAGGAAATGAAATCGAGAAGCGCAAATCTAATGGTGACTGTGCTTCTCCTGAGATGAAGGGAGAGGCAGGATGGAGGTGGGAGCTCACACACTCCCATCCTCAGATTCTGCCCCTGGGCCAAGTGAGACACTGTCCACCGCTCTGTCCTGCCACTGGGGGAGCCAGGGGACATGCGCTAACTACAGAGGAGTCCTTCCCTCTCTCTCAGGGTCAGACAGGACAGTGTGTATGCAGTGGAAAACTAAACATGAAATATTTTGTGATATGAGTCATTGCCTGATTAAGTGTACCCTGACAGTTTCATTAAATGCTCAGGTATGTGGTGGATGTCAGGATGTACTGTTGAGGGCCGTGGAGGAGGTGGGGCCCAAGTGTGGTCTTGGAGCGCGAGCAGATAAGACTGAGAAGGGAGGAGCCACATGTGAGCATCTGGATACATAAGGCTGGGAGAGGCAAACCAAGACCACATGGTGAGTTTGGTACATGAAGAGCCAGTGAGCTCTGCACTGGCCGTGACTGGCACGCCTTGGAAGCTAGAAGCTCCAGAGCAGTTCGGGAAAGAGACCTGGGAGGTAGCAGGGCAGGATGGTCTGTCATCTGGCTGACCCAGCAGTCACGACATGCGTGGGCCGAGGGGAAGCCAGCAACAGGGAGGCCTGCGAAACTTAGGTTGGTTTAATGGTTTCAGAGTCAGGAGGTCATGGAGGATGGCTGAGACTTGGAGTGGAAGGCAGCCAAGAAATAGGACATGAGCTGGCATTTTGCAGCTGCTATTAAGCCTCATGCAAAGGGAAACTGGAGACCCTTCTGATAGGGAGCAGTGCCACAGTCTGAGAGACGGGCATCCAGCCCCTATGTGAGGGGTCAGCCTAAGGGGCATATGGTCGCCTGTGGCCCTGGAGAACTTGGAGAGTTGGCACCTTGCATAAGGGTGTTCTTAGCGAAGTGGGTAACATCACTTCTCGGGTGAGAGTGACCCGGAACCTGTGGGAAAGACAGAAGCCTCTCCAGGGGTGCTCAGTCAAGTCAGCGATGCTGTCCAGCACCCCGAGAGCCATTTCTCATTGGTCATTGCAACTCAGGTACAGGTGTTAGAGGAGGAGCACAATCCAGGGCCGAGGAGCACAGTTCAGCAGCCTGAGGAGTCTAGGGGCTGTGAGCAGTGTGAAAACAGAGGCTCAGGGAGTAACCTAGGAGGTCAGAGAGGAGGTGCAGAGCCAGCAGCCGCTGGGGGCCAGATAGAGGCAGATCAAGGAGATGAAATGTGGGGGTTTTACAAAGCCTAGTGGGTCATCCTCTAAGAACACTGAAGTAGACTAAGTGGATGATGAGGTGGAGAAAAGGGCTGACCCATTTGGGGTTCTATGGGGATTGGGTTCCAAGGAGGGTAGCTTCCGGCATCAGTGGGTGACAGAATGGTATGAATGGTGGTGTGTATAGGCCTTGGGCAATACCTGAGAAATCTGTGACGCCTTTTGTCATTTGCAGAATGGAGGGAGGTGCTGCCAGGAGGGTGGATGGGGCTAGAGGCAGCGAAGCTCTTCAGACCAGAGTTGATGTGGAGAAGGGGAAGTCGCTGACCTGGATCTGTGCTTTCTCTTAATGACACCTGCTGGAGAGCCCACAGTCCTGGGACCCTGGGCCTCACTGGGCAGAGCGATGGCCCAGGAGGCAGGTGTGGTCTCCGGCAGCCCCCCTCAGCCCCCATCAGCCCCCTACTGCAGACCTGCCCCTGTGGACCAGGTGATCTGGAAGCAAGGGTGGCTGTGGGGGGATGTTCGCGGTACTGTGGGCCCAGGGTTGCTGCTCAGGGTGTCCTGCTTTTCCTTGCCCTGCTCTCCAGTCCCTGAAGAGGAAGGAGAAGGAATACGAGCATGAGATGGAGCGGCTGGCGCGGGAGAAGATCGCCACGCAGCAGCGGTTAGCGGAGCTCAAACATGAGCTGAGCCAGTGGATGGATGTGCTGGAGATTGACCGTGTGCTCCGACAGACAGGCCAGCCCGAGGACGACCAGGCTTCCACCTCTACTGCCTCTGGTGAGCCCCGCCTCTCAGATGTCAGGCTTCCTGGCCAGGCGTTTGCCTGCTGGAAAGATGCCCTCCCCTCCCAGCCCCATGATGTCCCCAGGCCCCAGGGGCATCCGTTTCTCCAGCCTTGTGTTTCCAAGCCCTCTGACCTCTCCTTGTCCTCGTGTCCCCACAGAGGGCGAGGACAACATAGATGAGGATATGGAGGAGGACCAGGCCGGCCTGGGCCTACCCAAGCTGAGCCAGCGCCCCCACCCGGAGCTGCCGCCGCCACCGCCCAGCACCGCCCCTGTGCCTCTGCCTCCCCACCCGCACCCCCACTCCCAGCCTGTGGCCCTGTCTCCAGCCCATCTGCCTGGGCAGCAGCCGCCACCACAGCAGAAGACACCTCTGCCGGCTCCTCCTCCCCCACCAGCTGCCCCTGCCCAGACGCTGGTACCAGCTCCAGCCCATTTGATGGCTGCATCTGGGGGCGGCTCCACAGTCATCGCCCACACAGCCACCACCCACGCCTCAGTCATCCAGACTGTGAACCACGTTCTCCAGGGGCCAGGCGGCAAGCACATCGCCCACATTGCCCCCTCAGCCCCCAGCCCTGCCGTGCAGCTGGCACCTGCCACACCCCCTATTGGCCACATCACAGTGCACCCCGCCACCCTTAACCACGTGGCCCACCTTGGCTCCCAGCTTCCCCTATACCCACAGCCTGTGGCAGTGAGCCAGCCCGTGGCGGTGAGCCACATTGCCCACACCCTCTCGCACCAGCAAGTGAATGGCACAGCTGGGCTGGGGCCCCCCACCACCGTCATGGCAAAGCCAGCCGTGGGGGCTCAGGTGGTGCACCACCCCCAGCTGGTGGGCCAGACAGTGCTCAACCCTGTAACCATGGTCACCATGCCCTCCTTCCCGGTCAGCACACTCAAGCTGGCTTGAGGATGAGGCCACTCAGAGGCCCCCAATGGGGGCAAGAAGGGGAACCTGTCCCCACACTCTCCCACCAGCTCCACACATTCCAGTCCGGCCCAGGCCCACCCCACCCACACCCACCCCCAGGCCTCCTAGGGGAAGGGGGTGCAGAGACTCTGAGCCAGGGGAGGGAGCTGGGCACAGGGCAGGGGGTTAGTTCACTGCACTAGGACTTGATAAAGTGATGAGCGACGCTCTGGTGGACGTGCTGCCGACTCAGCCTGGTGCTGCTCCTGCCTCCCCACCCTGTCCCCTGAAAGTTTGATGTGGATGTCATGTTCTCTGCCTTCTCCCTCCCCTGCTGCCTTCCTGTGCTGCTGCTGCTATTGCTCTGTCTGGTGATGTGGCTGAGGATCTGGGCCCTCCCTCCTGAGCCTCAGCCTCTCTTCCCAGGCCTATGGAGGGGAAAGAGGAGGAACTGAACTGAAGCAACTTGGCTCAGAAAGTTGGGGAGCCCTGTGGGCCCTATTCTGAGTGCAGGTGAGAAGTCCTAGGAAGTGGCTGGTCTGGAGTCCTTCGCAGACAGGTGGGTGCCCAGCCTGGGGCGCGCCAACCCAGTTGCAGTCACTGTGATTGCTTACAGCAGAAACTAGTTAGGATTTTCTACCAACGGTAAACCAAACCCAAGCTGTTGCCAAGTTTCTGAGCCTTTCACCCCTTACTACTGGGCTCCTGACCTCAAGAGGGCAGGCTGAGGGTGGTGGTGGTGGTGGGGGGGTGGAGGCTTGGCTGTCCCATCGTCCCCACCATCCCCGGCCTGGGTCTGGACTGAGAGCTGCTCCGGACCTCCATTCCCATCCCTAGGCGTGGCTTTTGGCTTCCAGAGGCTGTCACTCCCCCGATTCACTGGCCTCTGCTTAGTGCTCTGCACGCCCTGAGGATGGGTACCTGGGGTGCCACCTGGGAGACGTGGACCAATATCCGGTCTGGGTTCCAGGAGCCTGAAGCCACACTTGAGGCAGGGGTTCCTCTAGGCTCCCACCCCTTTCCCAAGGTGGCCCTGAGGACCTGCAGAGGGAGCAGAGCCGGGCTGTTGCATGGCTGCTGCTTCTGCCCCAACAACGCCGTCTCTAGCGTCATCTCCGCCCTGAACATTGCCTTCTCCAGTGGGCGTTACTGAGTGAACCCTGGTGGGGGCTTCTGTGTGCCACTGCCTTCCTCTGAGGAAAGGTCCTTAGTTGGGCCAAGGGCGGGGCTGAGCTTGGGGTGGAGAGGAGTGAGGGGAGCTGGTGTGTAGGGGATGCTATTTTCCCTGCCTCTGCCTTGGCAGACTTCGACTTTTTAATTTTTTTAATATATTTTTTATTGATTTTGGAGAGGGAGGGAGAGACAGAAACATCAATGATGAGAGAGAATCATTGATTGGCTGCCTCCTGCATACCCCCTACTGGGGATTGAGCCCCAACCCAGGCATGTGCCCTGACTGGGAATCGAACCATGACTTGGTTCATAGGTCGATGCTCAACCACTGAGCCACTCCGGCTGGGCGGGGTTTCTTTTTATGTAGGTATTTATTACAAGTGGCCTTGTGTCAGACACACCATTACACACACGTGCACACTTGGCTGCCCACCTGGACACAGGCCTTTCCATGTGGCGAGAGGACAAGAGTGTCCCTAGGTGTGAAGTTTGCACTGACAGGTTGGGGCCCAGGACCCTCTGGAGTGGCCCCCGCAGAGGTCTTGAACGGATTTATATGCCTAAGAACTCCCTTGCAGTTCCTCCCTGGTCCTGGAGACCTCCCAGGGGACTTTCTCCTGTCTCTCCTGGGGGTGGGGCAAGGGGAGGCCTTTCAGATGCCTTAGAGGCCTCCAGGAGAGAGTCCCATTCCGCCCCCAGCCCACACAGTGCTCCCACCTCACAGGCTTGCTGCCTTCCTGCACCTGCAGCCGCTAGCCCCACCCGGGTCCTCTGGAGCCAGTTCCACTCCCGATGTGATTACAATGGAAAGAACAGGGAGAAGGGCAGGCCTGGTGCCCAGGGAAGAGTCCAAAACGTGGGTGAACCGCCTCTCCTCAGCTCCGTTCACCTCCCTACATCCTGAGGCTGGTCCAGTTAAAACTTGTGTCAGCCAGTCGCCCCTCGGGCCTGCACAGATACCTCATCCGCCCGCTGCCCGTGCCCCTCTCCGTCCCCAGCAGTGGGGGCCCTGAATCTAGTGCCGAATGACTATGTCCAGACTGGTGACGATGGGTGTTGCTGTTCTTGTTGTTTGTGAATGCTGTGACTCTGTGCCCGAGAGGGCAGCCGCCCAGCCCTTTGGGCATCTCCCTTCTGAGAGCTATCAGGACCACATCTGTCCTCACCCTGTGGGACCGCCTGCCCTGCCCCTCCCCTACCCTCCCTAGCCATTCCAGCCTGGGGGACGTGCGCACACACACATCTTACCTCTCATGCGTGTTTTACTTTTTGATGTTCAGAGTGGCTCACTGGCTGGGAATCTTTACCTCGGGGAGAGGGGGAGGTTGGTTCCTTGGGGGGGGCCAAAGAAGGGCAGGGAATGCCTGGAGGGAAACGGGGGCGGGGGTCACCAGAACCCCTGCTCTCTCCAGGAACAGCTGCTGCTCCCCCATCCCAGGATCCCACCCCCATCCCCCAAAGAGGTGGCCCTTGTTTACAGTGAGGACTCGGTCACTGTGTCTCTGTTTCCTGAAATATAAATCGTAGTGACCCCAGACTGTAGAGATTTTTATGTGTTTGGATACATCTGCTGTGTGGGAAAAAAATTACAAAAAACCCTACTTTTGTACATATTGTATTTTTACTATTGAACTGTATTCTAGTGGCTGTTCATGCTCCAAGACTTTAGGTATTGAGACATGAATACTATCCATGTAATAAGCACTTGCCTGGAATAAAATATAAAATTGAAATAAACCTGCACTGAAACCTGAGACGGAGCTGCCAGCCTGCAGCATCTGGGTCCTTTTGTTGCCAAAGGAGGCAGAGACCTCCAGCAAGAAGCAGCAGGTCCCTTCCCTGTTGGGGTGTGTGGGGGGGGTCCTCAAGCAGCTTCGGTGCTGGTCAGTTTTAGAAGAAGTTAGAGACCTTCCCGTTCTGATCCCGGTGTCGAATCATCAACAAGCTCCCAGAACTGCAGTTCTGGTCCTCCTTATGCTTTTACAGTACTTCCTCAAACCATTTTACAAACACTATCTTGTTTTATCTCATAACAACAGTGAATTAAAGCCAAGAACTAGCCCCATTCTGGCAGAAAAAGTAACAGGTTTGAGATGGCTAAGTGACGTTGGAGACACAGCTAGCCTGGACCTTGTGTAGCTTCAGTCAGACCTCGACTCGTGCCAGGTTCTCCCTGAGCGGTGCCATCCCGCCCTGGGCCTGCTGTACAACTGCGGGATCCTAAACTCATGAAAGTTCAATGGAAAGAAGGTGCGGAGGGGAAGCATTCATGGGGTAGAGGTTAGGACGGGTCAACTGGGAGTCCACGTGGCTGTCCTTTCAGGGGAGGGAACAAGAAGAGGAAGAGGTCAAAACCATGTTCTAAGGTGGCCTGCAAACAGGTTTTGGAAAATCTTTGTCCCTGTGACTAATCTTCCCAGTTTAGGGGAAACCGGCCCTGTGGCAGGCTGTCTCAGGAAGAAGTGGGGAGGTGAGGGAGCAATTAGCTGGGCCTAACTACAGACCAGCAAGGCTGCTTCATCCTGCCTTGCTTAACTCCCTGACACCTCCCCACTCCCAGCCCCAGCCTGGGGTACTGACTCAGTTTCTCTTTGGAGGGTGAGTCCAGGGATGTAGGACGCGTGTGCGCGGGTGTGTGTGTGTGTGTGTGTGTGTGTGAGTGATGTCATCCTCAGGGAAGGTAGTGGTGGCCACTAATGTATTGGGGTTCCATTAGTTGAAGAAAAGCCAGCCTCCAAAGGCCAGACAGTGCCCCACAATTCCTTCAGCCCTTTTCACTTGTGAGATGCTGGCTCCCTCTACTGGTAGCTCCAGGGAGAGATGGGTGCCTTCAATTAAGGCAGCGGTTCTCAACCCGTGGGTCGCGACCCCATTGGCGGTCCAACGACCCTTTCACAGGGGTCGTCTAAGACCATCCTGCATATCAGATATTTACATTACAATTCATAACAGCAACATGACAGTTATGAAGTAGCAACGAAAATAATTTTATGGTTGGGTCACAACATGAGGAACTGTATTTAAAGGGCCAGAAGGTTGAAAACCACTGATAGGGAAGGCCAACCCTTAAACTTAATCATTTCCTGCGCGCCCTCTCAGTGTCAGACACCATGCCCAGCACTGGGACAGAGATGAAGACTGCCCGTGGTAATGATGACCCAGTATCATCTGAGAGCTCTCACTATATTGCAAGGGCTGGCAGAAACTCCCCTCCCTGCTCTCAAAGCACAGACTCCCACCCCAACTCAGCTGGAGCCTGCAAGAGAGGGGCCTATGGCCAGGGCAACGGGAAACAACAATCCCAAGTAAGAATCCAGGAGCTTCCATTTAGCAGCTCTGCTCGCTCTGTGAAAGAGGAAGTCTTACAGAGTTGGAGGGATGATGTTTGCTCTCCTCACACTCCCTGCTCCTCCTATCCACACACGCATTCCCTTCAGCTGACCCAACCTTCTAGTTCCAGGAGCCCATTCAGGGTGTAGTCAGGGGCCCTTTCCACGCCTCAGCAGGTTTGGCTTCTCTTGAGGCTCCCCCTCAGTTTGAAGCAGACATCTCAGAGACAGTGCTCAGTGAGCGGGGTCTTTCCCCATTGGCTGGAGGGGCTGGGAGGCTCCAGCTTATCATTGTAGCTATTCAGGAGGTCAGGCTGCGGAAGGCGTGGGACAAGGACCTACACTAATCCAGGGGATGCAGAGGCCATTGGTCAGTCTGAGATGGGACTGCTGGCTCTCAGGGTTCTCTTTGGTTCTACCTATTATTCCCACCCCAACCAGCCCATCGCTGAGGTCCCCTCTTTTGGAAATTTGTTTCTCTCTTTTCGCCATCCTTGCCTCATGGGGTTGGCCTTCTTTACTGTTCTATTGTGGAGACGACAGAATTCCCGCACACAGTCACTCGCTGTCCAGCACCAGCCCACAAGCAGCCCCCAGAGCCTCGAGCATTGCCAAATGCTGTGTTTATTGGTTTGTTACACTGAAGAGTATAGTTTCTGAGCCAAAAATCATACACACTCTGCTCCTCACAAACCACTGAGTCACTAAGGCAGGCACACAATGGCCACCGTGCTTGGTGGAGGCTGAGGACTCACAGACAAGAGTGGGCAATGGGGCGGGCTGGCCCCCAAACAGGCCGTGCAGTGCCTGGGACAGGGGTGGGCTGGCGGGAGGAGGCGGGGGGCTGTGCTGGATGCAGAAAAGCTACTGGGTCCTTTTCTGTTTCTCAAATGCAGGAAGTCTCCAGCCCTTAGTGGTTGCTGGGCAGGCCCCAGCCCCTGTGGCAGAGCAGCCTCCTGGGCCTGGGGCAAGGCCCAGCCTGCATGTGTTGGGGGCTGGGGGTGGGGGATGGCAGAACAAGCAGCATGACACCTCCCCTCATGAGTGAGGCTCTCCCAGGCAGGTTTCTGGGTCCTTAGGCCTCTGGACATCCTGAGAAGCATGCGGAAGGCAGAGCTAACCTTGCTTTTCATCAGCAACAAACAAGAGAGACCCAGGCACCTCCTCCTTCCAGCCTTAGGACTCAGCGGATGCCTGGGATAGACGATGGGCTGCCCCCAAGTTTTGGGGCCACCTTTGAGAGGAGGCTGTGACAGGATCCCCTCCCTAAGGAATCACCTGGGATTCCTCTTGAGAGAAAGTGCTCCAACCACATTCCAGATCCTCCAGCTGGCAGAGTGTCGTGTATACAGTTTCCAGGGATGCATCTAATGCATAAAGCAAGAGCGAGGTGGCAGGAGTGAGACTGTACAGGTACACGTGGGTGCACTGTACGGGCTTGGGGAGGGCATGGGGTCACCTCAGGTGGCCAAAGGCAGTGGCAGTGCTGCTGAGGTGGGCTGCTCTGCCCAGTCTCAGAGGAGGACCTGGAAGGTGGCCCAGGAAACACGCCCAAACTCGTAGCCATTCTGGCTGCCCCGACTGGGATTGGTGCACACACATGCACTGGGCCTACAAAGGGACGCTCAGAAGGAATACAACAGAGTCCCCTTGCCTCACACGACCCTCACCAGTGGGGCCCAGCCAACATAGCCCTGGTGACTCGACAGGGCCCCAGGCTGACCCAGGAGAGGGCATGGGGCACTCAGGCTGAGGCTGCAGGGGCAGTGTTCCCCAGGTCAGCTGCTCCCTGAGGCTGCCCCTTCCCCTCCTGGCCCTGACCTGAGGGTACCCTGGCCCCTGACTTGCCCTTCAGGGCCAGAACTGCCCGGAGTCGGATCCCAGGCTCACACTTTGTTAGGAACACAGCTGGGCAGGCAGGGTTGGCCGAGAGGTGGGCAGTCTCTGCTGTGCACCCCTGCACCTCTCCCCACGGACCCAGGGCCAGGGGCCGAGGCTCTGGCTGGCTGCTGCCTCCTGGCCCTCACTTGTTCTCTATGAGCATCTGCACCTTGTGGACGAGGTCCCGGGCAATCCGCAGGATCTCCTGGGCATCGTGATGCTCAGCTCGTTCTGGAGGAAACATGGGTAACTGTGGGGATGCCGGAGCGAGGGCAAGAGTCTGGGAGGAGCCCTATGGCTGCCCACCCTACACCATTTCCACCTGCTGGACTCCTGACATCTGTGTATGGGGCGGGGACCCGGTATTTCTGAGCCTCTCCAACCCTGCCCAGGCCAGGAGTGGAGGCCCCTATCCCCTTGTTGGGGACAGCCAGATGGCTGGACAAGCTCCTACCATTGAAGAACTTGATGATGTCGGTGAAGTCCATGTTGTTGTCACGGATAATCTCACGGTAGGCCTCCACCAGGGCCAGGGCAATGAATAGGACAAAGTGCTCTGATGAGATGTGCTGGGCCGCCCAGATCACCTCCCACACCGCAAACACGTCCTCATATAGCAGCTCTGGGGACAAAAAAGGACTAAGTCTGGCCACCCATGGCCTCCAATGGGGCCACATATGGAGACAGAGCTCCAAGGGCCAAAGTTCTGGGGTTCTCTCCATTACGCAGCCGGGTCCAAGAGGGGGTGGGCTCTGTGCATCAGGCCAAGACCCTGCCCTTCTCCTTGGTAATTCCTGCAGATAAGGCCCCTGTAGCCTCTACTCCTCTCTCCAGCTAAAGCAGCTCTGCTTTTAGAGACCTTGGTGCCCAGAGGGGATTTGGTTGGAGAACAGTACCAAAGGCCGTTGCCTGAGGGTGATTTTCCACCCTGTCTTCACTTGGGAGTCACCTAAAGAGCTTTTACAATCTCGATGCCCAGGCAGCCTGCCACACTAGTAGTCTGAGGCCCGGTAGAGCCATGGTCAGCAAACTGCGGCTCGCGAGCCACATGCGGCTTTTTGGCCCCTTGAGTGTGGCTCTTCCTGAGCCTTAGGAGTACCCTAATTAAGTTAATAACAATGTACCTACCTACATAGTTTAAGTTTAAAAAATTTGGCTCTCAAAAGAAATTTCAGCTGTTGTACTGTTGATATTTGGCTCTGTTGACTAATGAGTTTGCCGACCACTGACCTAGAGCATTCGTGTTTCTAAAAATTCTCCAGGTTGCCCTAGCCGGCTTGGGTCAGTGGATAGAGCGTCAGCCTGCGGACTGAAGGGTCCCAGGTTCGATTCCGGCCAAGGGCACATGCCTGGGTTATGGGCTTAACCCCCATGGGGCATGCAGGAGGCAGCCGATCAATGATTCTCTCATCGTTGATGTTTCTATCTCTCTTTCATTCCCCCTTCCTCTCTGAAATCAATAAATATATTAAAAAATAAAAACAAAAAGTTCCCCAAGTGGTTCCAAAGTTCAGTTAGGGTCCAGGACCAATGACTTTGGGGCAAAAGGGTCACCCAGACCCCTGACCCTAGGCCTGCCATCCAACCCTCCTCTTACCTCTCTTAAAATCCAGCAGGAACCAGCGGTAACAGAAGTAGAAATGGGTGTAGTCTCCATTCTGATGCATCAGTTCAAACAGCTCTGAGTCCAGGATCTTGTGTGAGTGAGAAAAGAGAGAAGGACTGAGCCTATGTGCCTCTTCCCTGCTGCCCCGACCCTCCACCAGGCCCTTTCTGCTGTGGCGCCTGGCAGCTGTGCTCGAGCCTCTCTCATCTCTTAGGGTGCACTCTGCGGCCCCACCATCTCTCTGGGTTTGTAGTCTTTTTAGAGTTATACCATTTTTCTTTCTTTTTTTTAATCCTTACCCAAGGATACGTTTATTGATTTTTTAGAGATAGAAAGAGAGAGAGAGAGAGAAACATCAATGTGAGAGATGGTAAATTGATTGGTTACCTCCTGTATGCACACCGACCAGGGATTGAACCCTCAATCTAGGCATGTGTCCTGACTGGGATTCCAATCCGCAACCTTTTGGTGTACAATGCTCCAACAACTGAGCCACCTGGCCAGGGCTCTGGGTGTTTGACTTCATCAACCATACTATTCACCAGAACTTTCATGAGCACAAGCATTCACATATTGACATTCCTCTCTATTTTTAACAGTGAAAACAATGTGTTTTCAGAAACAAACTCATAGATATGGAGAACAAACTGATGGTGGCCAGATGGAAGGGGTGGGGGAGCTGGGTGGAAAAGGTGAAGGGATTAAGAGGTACAAATTGGTAGTAACCAAACAGTCACGAGGATGTAAACTACAGCACAGGGAATATGGTCGGTAGCACTGTAATAACCACATATGGTGCCAGGGGGGTGCCAGCCTTATGGGGGCATCACCATGCCTCATAAGTTAGGAATGTGTCTAACCACTATGCTGTACTCCTGAAACTAATATAATATTGAATGTCAAGGGGGATCCAAGATGGCAGCAGAGTAGGTGGAAGTTACGCTCACCTCCTCCCAGGTCCCAACTGGAATTACAACTAAATTATAAAACAATCTGAATAACCAAATGAACAGAAGTCTTATTACCAAGGACTGATAGAAGAAGCCACCGGAGACTGGTAGGAAGGAAGGGCAGAGACGTGAAAAGGGCTGGCCCTGCTCCCACGTGTGGCAGCTGAGACTCTGAAGGGATATCTCAGCTGCAGAAAGAAGCTGGGAAGCATGGGGTCTCAGCCCCACTTGGGGCTTCCCAGCCTGGAACACCAGAGCCAGGAATAGAAGCCCACATTAACTACTGTGAGCTTCTATTTCAACCATTAATTGGGGGGGAAATGTGTGTGTGTGTGTGTTTAATGAAAGAAATTAAGCTTATATATAAAAGAAATTTTTGGGCCACTCCCTGGCCTCCTTGTGGAAGACGGACAAGCCCAGTGGTGCCTGGTCACATGCCCAGGAGCAGCTACAGTCCTCACCTGGATGAGGGAGCGCATGTTAGCAAAGTGGGTGTCCATGGCGCCCCCATTGGGGAAGTTCTGGCTCATCCTCTTCATGAGGTGGCTGAAACAGCTGTAGGTCAGCTGATCTGAGGGGAGACAGGAATGAGGCCACAGGGCAGGAGACCCTAACATCTCACTTCACAGGGGGTGCCTGTGGCCCAGAGGACTGGGCTGTCTAATATTCCTACCCATCTAGACCTGGCAGTCTTCTTTCCTTCTCCAGCTTATGTCAACCCCGCCCCCATGCCTGAGGCGCATGCCACTGTGGGAACTCGCCCTTCCCCGGCCCCATCCCTCACCATTATCGAGGATGACGAGGAGCGGCGCCAGCAGATCACACATGCCCTGCACGTAGCCCACGTCCAGGTGTTCCCACACGTAGCTGGAATCCCAGGGACAGAGTCGCTGTAGGTGTGTGCCAGTCCCCATCCCCTCAGGGACCCCCAGGGAGATGGGGCTTAGAGTAGCCTGCTACCGGCAGTCAGCCTTCCGGGACCCTAAGCGCTGGGAGTACCATGGTGAACAACTAGCCCTGTCTTCAAGGCACGCAGGGGGTCAGGGACAGAGACAAGGCTGGGGCGGGGTGGGGGAGCCCCAGAGTGAGGGAGAACGGGAAGGCTCCCTGAAAAACCTGTGATGAAGAGGGCGGGGCAGGGGCACTGCAGGAGGAGGTGTTCCCCCCAGAGGGAGTCCAGTGCGATTCTGGTGCAGCGAGGGGGCAGGGCACTGCTGACCTAACCTCACTGAGCAGGGTCCCTGCCGCCCACCCTGAGCCCTGCCCGACAATGGCACCTGCACATGATGTCTCTGAGCCTCTCGAGGTTGGGGGGTGTGAAGTACCAGTAGTTGCGGTCACATCGCTGCACATCCTTGTCTATGCGGTGCAGGTTTAAGGCCACGGTGTCCAATAGTTCTATCTGAAAGAGTGGAAGGCCCTCAGGGTAAGCTGGGGCCTGAGGTGATGCCCACAAGGAAAGCAGGAAAGGCAGGGAGCCAAGGACTCAGCGAACAGTCCTCTGGGACGCGGAGAGACGGGCTCCAGGCCCTCCAAGATAGGCACCCCACCTTCCACCCGCCAGCCTGCCCCCAAGCCTTGGGATGGCAGGAGGGCCCTGGGGCCAGCTGAGAACAGGGCCTGGGACTGTCCACATACAGTGTAGGCAGCAGCGCACACAGCCGCCAGCTCTTCCCCTGCCTCCAGCTCGCCGGCCCGAGAGGCCTTCTCCTGGCTGGGATCTTGGGGCTCGGAGAAAGCGTGGACTGCAGGTTCCGGCCCATCGGAGCCTTCCTCCCCACCGCAGTCCTCCTCGAAGCCCACACTCGGCCCCTCATCTATGCTCGACTGGATGCCTGAGGCCACGGAATAATTGCGAGAGGAAGGCAGTCCTGAGTCTGGAGAATCAAACTCCACTGACTGCTGCTGCTCCACCACGGCGGTGCCCGGGGGCCCTGCTCCGGGTTCCTCCTCGGGCCCTGGTCTGCACTCCTCCGTGCCTGGGGGCTTCGGGGGCTCCAGGTCATCCACAGAGATAAACACCTGGTGGGGAGAACAGATGGTGGGGCTCATACCTGCACCCCAGCCCCTTCCCTCGGCTCAGTGTCTCCTTCCTGGGATCAGAACGAGAGGGAGGGAGAATTCTCTTCACACCTACTCCACCCCACGGCCTCCAGCACTGCCTCCCTTCTGACCCAGCTGGCCAGGTGGAGAAATGAGGTTCCAGGCCAACATGAAGACTTCAGCCCTATCCAGTCCCTTCCTCAGCTTCTTCCTGGCGCATGAGAAGAAGGGGAACACCCCAGGCTTCCTGTGGCTGCTGCAGGGAAGAAGGGAGACTAGAGGCCTGGACACTCAGTGGTACGTGATGGCAGTGTGAGCGGTGTCATTCTACAAACACCTGAAGTCACTCTCTTACTATGATGATAGTTTCTAACACAGGATGAGATTCACAGCTCCTGGGGGGGGGGGGGGGGGGGCGAGCCTGGAGGCGTTAGGAAAACCAACAAGGCAGGGACCTTTTCTAGCAAGGACCTGATCAGTTATACTGGCCTCGGACAAGCTGAGGCGAGGTCAGGAGTGAAAGGAAACATATTGTGCTGGTTGGAAACAGGCCTCACCATGGACCAGGACAGGGAACAGAAGAGAGAGAGAGAGACTG